TGATTTAACATATTTAACATATATGTCTATTTGACAATATCTATTGTCAAATAGATATTGTCTCAAAGAGATAGTTTAAGGAGGCAAATTTAAAACAAAAAAAAAAGAGTGAGATGGATGAGCTGTTTTTACTTGTCTAAAGTGTCTAAAGGACTTGAGCCAGATTCAGGAAAAGGTACGTCTGCTGAGGGCTGATATGTGTGTGAAGGAAGTGGAGGGAACACAGGGGCAGGAATCGCCCTGCAGACCGGAAAAGGCCTTGTGGAGGTGATGGTGGGGGTGGAGGTGGAGGATGCCCGCTTCAGTCTGATAGCTTGTTGGAAGCACACACACACACACACGCGCACACAGAAACATACGGAATCACATTATGACACATCGCTCTGCAGGCTGTGGATTCTTGTTCTGTGGGAACAAGAATCCAAGCTCCGACAAAGTAACTCTTGGATTCTTGTTCTGTGGGATTCTTGTTCCCACAGAACAAGAATCCAAGCTCTGACAAAGTAACTCAGAGCTTGATGGCTAGTGTTGGCAAAACATACATGCACACTTATTAACTCAGGAAGTTAGTGTAAGTGCATTTAATTATGTGCAAAAGTGCTACTGTAAATACAACGGCGCAATCAACAGTAATTCTGTTGTAGGAAATCCACCTTTAGCAGTTGGAGTTATGAGCTGCAGGAAATGATCCTCAGCCCTTCTGTTTGATTTAAGACTGGAACACTTCATTATATATAAATTTAAAACACTAGCAGCTCTTTTAATTGTTCTGCTTTTTCCCTTATAACTATAAAAAACATATGTAAATTAGTCCTGGCCAAATTGATTTACTTAGAGTTTGCTCAAACAATAATAATTGATTAAAATGTTGACATATGCAAAGGTTAAACTTTATTAGTGGACACAAATGGAAAGAAAAAAAAGAAAGAAAGAAAGTAAGCAAAAAAGAAAGAAAGAGAAGTAGCGGTACAAACTGTGAACTACCAAGAAAACAGCATTTGTTGTGCTCACAGTGTTCTCTTCACAATGGATTCTTTTTTACCAACATCCTTTAGTCCTTGTCAGGGTTAAAAACCAGCCACTGAAACAAACAAAAACAGGAAAAGCCAACAGTTTGAGTTGTTTCTCAGACCTAAATTGCCTCCATGTTGCAGAGAATGACTGTTTTTGGGTGAGAGGAGTTAATTTTTTAAACGGACATTTCATTTATAATCTAACTATTGATCGTCATTTAAAAATCTGAAGTTGTTTTAAGCAGACTGCAAGACATGCATCCAATAAAATAATAACTTCAATTTGAAAATTTACAAGTGGACAGTTTTAACCGAAGCAGTTTAGTTTTTCAGCTTCCTCTGACTTTTTAAAAGGTAACTATTGTTAAATAGAATCTATTAAATTTAGAATAAGCTATCTTGAACGTTTGAAGACTTAATGAAGCATGCTTTCATTATGTTTTATGTTAATTATATAAAAGTCGGATCAAATGTGACATGACCCTTCACACTGCAGACCCTCTCAAAACTACCAGAGACATGTACAATTTTGTACCACATGTGGAATTGACACAAATCAGACTTTATTTTGGCCGAAAATATCGGACTATGCTCTCAAAAAGTCAATTATCTGCTGAGTGAACATTGCTTTTTAGAATGACATTTTTTTTTTTTTTTTTCTTTTTTAATAGCAACTATCAATTACATAATCACCTTTTTAAAATTTAATCTAGCATTCTGTAGATAAAAATTATATAGTTTTTTTCTTAAGTCAATTTTTATGGTCTTGTAAGTCAACAGCTGAACGATTAACTAAACATTATGTGCTTATTTTTGTAAGTTTTCATATGAGCCCGGTTATAGATATTTTATCTTTGCCATCCCAAATTTTATGTATCAGCTAAGTCGCACTGGAGGTACCCCTAAATAATAGGCACTGTATGCACTGGATACCTGCTGTAGGAGTTATAGCTGCATTTCATTCATGCAGTAAAAACCTTAGAAGCATTAGTAGTATGATACTCTGTCATTAAGTGTCTCTAGGCTCTCTCACTTTTCCCATTAACAGACTTGCAGCTTCAATAACAGCATTAGAAGGACTGCAGCTGGAGCATATTAAAACTGCGGCAACTTCAATGCTCACTCCAAGGTAGATGGGAAATGGATGTTTTATAATGCTCGTTGTTTCACCTTCACAAAGTGAGTTTCTGTAATACTGGGTGCATTTCTGTTTAAAGCTTTGGTGTAAATTTATGAAATCCTGACATCCAAAACAAACAGTGAATTAAGCATGCCTGGTTTTTAACATCCCATTGGAATGAGTCACTTTCTTCACAAAGACAGTAATCTTTTAATCAAACCCAGGCCTGGATTATTTATGGATAATATCAAGTTGCATGTTGTAAATGCAATAGGGTATTTAGCATGGAATGGTAAAGAAAAAATAATAATTCTTCCAACTATCTTAGAGAAAATGTATATCTGAGTCTAATGCATTTCTTCTTTTTTTTTTTTTATTATTCTCATGACGGTTGCTCTGGGACTCCCAAGACCAGCTAGAAAAACAGGAACCTGCAGACCCTAGCAGTTTTAGGTAATAGCAAACGTGAGTGCAAGGTGATGGTGGAACTGCCAGGGCCCACTGTCTGAGAGAGTTTGATGATGCAATGCTTGGGGCTTGTGCAGGCACTTAGCCACCAGTGTGAACAGATTCTCCTTTCTATCTGTGCTTGGGGATGTGTTGATGAGGTAGGGTGGGGGCTGGATCTGTGCTCTGCATCTTTCCTTGTGTCTCTATGGCCTGTGGGTTGCTCCTGCTGTGCTTCGCTGCCCGGCTTCCTTCACGTCAGGTAGATAGCTACTCTGAGAGAATGCCTGACTCAAATGGCATTTTTGGAAACCCATGATGATGAGTTGTTATGTGGTGAATCACCAACATACCTTCTCCAGAATAGTGTAAGAGAATGGTCATGCAGGAAACATCTACTTCAACTGCTGATGTTAAAAATGGTTCAACAAACTACTGAATCATAGGTTGGGCTTAGTTTTTTTATACCCTCTAACTCTGTCTTTGTGTGAATAGTATTGGCAGGAGTCTATGGTGTGTTTTGTACACTTGAGCTTACATTTAAATAATTTCAAAATCTTGCATAGATCAGATGACTTTTCATGACAGGTGAAGCTCTGCATTTAAAATGAGGGTGTGGTATCTTTTTCCTACAACTGCAACTACATGAGACCCTTGAGATAAATTTTGGAGTGAAAGTGAAAAAAAAAATGCAGATGCAGATGTTTTATTCATAGATATATAAATTTGAACCAGATGTGTAGCAATCCTGTCTCACATTTTCCTGTTTCCTGACAGGGCCATAGCAAATGGACCCATAAGCTCCAAAATATGTGAAAAATGTGAAACTATCACCTTGTAAAATTCACACATAGATTTCTTTCAGAAGGGAAATGTTTTTAGGGAGAAAAAAAAACACAAAAGAAAACAGGCAGTTACTCTCCGTCCAGCAAACCTCCTGAGAGCTTTGGATTGTCTCCTCTATGACCAATGGCAAGACACAGGATTGTTTGTCACATAGCTTTTCCTCCTCAAGTGCAACTGTCCATTGTTATGTACAGCACAGCACGTGTTGTTATTTCCCCCTTCTTTTAAAGACCGTGTAAGGTTTTCCCATCTTCTTCACAAAAAGAGCCATGACCCCTGACCCCGGCACTTTTCTTGCAGAGCAAAGAGTAAACAATGCAATTCAGCAGAAGTGTGTGTGGGGTTGAGGAGAGAGGTGGAAGAAATGTCTTGGCGATATAATTTTATACAGATTGTGAGAGTCTTTCTGCAACAGTGAATCCCGGTATTTGCTGAGGTCAGGGAACACAACAGCCCATGAATACTGGAAAATCCCTGTAAGAACGCTTTTAATTAAGATCATTATTGAAAATTAATTCTAAAGCTGCTGCTTTCAGCATCAATTTTCTGTGTTTTTTGCTACCAAAATGTACAAATATTGTTTTATTTCTACCTAAAAAGAAAGAACAAAACACATTTCACCCACCATACTTTTCATTATGCTGTTCCCAGAATATAAATAGTAGTGTCACCGACAAATAAAGAAAACTTAATACTTAATACTTTACGAATCAGTTCAGGTTCGGGCATTGAATTATACATTTAATATGTTTTTGCCCTGATAGTTAATTTTTAAACAGCACAAAGTATTTTGACCTTAAGCACTTATGAGAAGGGCAAATAAGCAACTGTTTCCAAACAACCTTTTCTAAAAAAGGTTTAAATGAAAAAGTCTCATGCAATAGATAATACTCAAAACTATATGGATGAAGAACAAAAAGCTTTTCTGAAACGACATCTTCCAGATGAAGCTGAGGTATCATTTTGATTCTCAACCCATCCCTGATATTTTCCACAAGACATGCAGCTAAAGCATCCTGGAACATACACATGGAGGGAGGTAAGGAGAATTGGTATGGGAGTTAAACGTACAGATACAGGAAGGTCAGGAAGTGGCGCTATTGTTCTCAGGGTCACATCGCTTTTCCTTTCAGAACCTCAGAGGCATTTCTCTCTGTTCAATCGGTGGATCTGATATAAACAAAACTTCTAGACGCCGCAAGTATCTAGTCACACATCCTTTCCCAAGAGGGCAGAGAAAATGTTTATGCTTTAAATTCACGAGACAAAGTCCGTCACCTGAGGCAATTACATACAAACACCCACACCAGAAGGAGAGGAGACATATAACTAAAGCAAATATATGCAGAACATCTTTAAAAAACGCTTTGATTGGCTAGTTACTATGTCACTTACATGTCAAAACAGGTAGTTAAAACGTGAAGGGTTACATACTGATTTCACTATGTGTTTAGCTTCTTCCTGGTTTGGCACTGACCTGGTCTAATATCTCATTGGCCGGGGAAGTGCAGGAGGAGGTTAAAGTGGGAGCACACCTTGGTAACCAAAGTTACTCATTACCATGCTATTCTGGGAATGAGCTGCAGAGCACAACAAAGATCAACCTTTGCACAGCATTTCTCTATGTCACAGGCAAACGCAGAAGAAAATGTTAAAGCTCATTTGAAGTATGTGGGAAGTCGAAGAGAGTAGGTGTAATCTGATGCCGCTGGGATTCTGATGAACAGGTGACCAGGTAAGACCTAAAGTAAACAACTGGGCTTTTAGAAGGGATTTTGTTAGCAGTATTTAAGACAGGCTTGGTAAATGTTTCTCTCCTGAACAGAAGTATAACAAGGCTACTTACAAAAAGTGCACAAAAAGTGCACAAATGTAAAATTTACTACACTTAGGCAATATAAAGAACTCAAAGGCAGTCAAGCTAATAAGCTATTTTGTTAGATGATCTTTCAAAAAAGGACTGAGAAAATATAACAAGCCTAAAAAAACAGTATTTTTTTTTTCTTTTTATGTAAAACTACAATTTTTTTACAGCAAATAGTTGAACGGACTGACTAATTGATCCCTAGTTGTATTTGCTGAAGCCTGGCCAACCATTCACTGTGTGCTGTAACACATACTAGCCAACTTACATGTATGTCATGATTTTCTATGGAATTAAAGTCAAAGAGCAAGCAGTTGCACTTTATTAAAGAGAAAGCTATTTTGATTGGCAGCATTTCCATTCAAAACTGGACACATTTCTGGTTTAAGATACTGATTCAGTTGTTGACACCATATACATACCAGAAACGATTAAACTAAATGCACAGTGGTGTAAACCGTGACAGTAATTCAACATTACTTTAAAGTAAACTGACAAATTAATCTCATAACTAAGAGAGCAAAGTTTTCAGATCTGCCTTCAAGAATATTAAGTAATAACCTACAGAATGACTTCATTGTTTCTGTTGTTTTTGACATTTTATGATTTGCTTGGTTGGTTTCAACACTTTAGACAACTGTAAATTTAGGAAAACATTTTACTTCAAAAGCTTTTTAATCTATTTTATATTGTACATGTTTCCCTTGATCAGTGATCAGATAATTAAATCCTGAAGTGTTGTTGTCTTTATCTATTTTTATCTAATGAAATGAAATTTTTATCTAATGCTGACCAAATTAATCAAACCAAGAATTTTTGTTCTCTAAACGAATCAACAAATGTATTTCTTTAATAACGTTTTTTGAGTTTAATAAATGTGAGACAATATTTAGCAACATATGCTTGTAAATTATGCTTTTTTCTGGGATGCAAAGCTGTTACTTTTATAAAACCATTTATAAAACAAGGCTGTAGGTCAGTTTTTTTTTTCTTTTTCTCTGAATTTGCAGAAACAAGAATTGGCAAGTGACACTTCAATTAAAACAGGGAATTTATCCATTTGGAAATCACTTCTCATAATTGTTTTGTGTTCTTTTTAAAGATTTTATATGCTCAGTTTTTAATGACATGCACTGGCCACCATGTGGGACATCAACTGTTTATACTTCAAATAGTTATGCACTATCAGCAGTTCACCCTTACAGGATGACACCTTCCCATTATATTAGATTGTATAAACAAATGAAAAAGGATAGTTACAATATTTTTTTGTTAAAGTAAACACACTATAAATATTTATTGCATGCTCATTGTGAAGACAGTGGGTAACACTACATCAGTCTGGTATTAAATCACTAGACATCTGAAAACTTGTTACTTGAACTTTTATGAAAAAAATCATAAATTTTTTTTGTAAGTGCATCACTGTTGCACTTAGTTAAATAATGAATCACACTTATCAACAAAGTGTCTGTTAACCATTGCTCAGGGTTCAATAAATTTCATACCTGTCAATTACCTTTGACTTACAATGCCACGACCTGACTCTCTGCATTTCAAAGCAAATATAAGTGCAGAACTTGGTGGAGGGACAGAAGAGAAGGTCTGAAGCTCACATACACCTTTTTGTTAGTTAGCTTCTTGGTCAAGATCAATACTGAATAACCATAAATTATGAATATTTGTACAACAGATAAAAAAGAAGATAATGCTGACTTGCAGTAATTACATGAGCAAACATATGTTCTGCAAAGTCCAGTGATTTTTTGAATAAACTCAAACTGTAAATTATTCGGTCTCTTTAAAATGGTTTGATTCGACTCCATGCATTTCAGATCAATAACAAAAAATATCATTTGTCACCATCATTTTTAGGGTCAGTAGACTCTAACAATTACAAGCCCTTAAATTAGGGCAATAGAGCAAAAAATTACAAAGATGAACTGGATTTCGTTTATAACATTTGTTTGCAGATGAATGCAGGAATAAAAATGCAGTTAGTCTTTATCAAATACATGGATTCACATATTGAAGCAAACAAGGGCTACACAGGAACAACACCCACACATAAAATGCATACTTCTATCTCCCGCTGGTCCATGTCCTGCTCTGCCTGATGTGTATATTTTGTCCTGCTTTGCTTATGTGAAGACAGAACAGGAAGAGATAAAGGCAGCCCTGTTGGCTTGTTTACAGCCAACAGTGCTGCAGAGAATGGCAGGACAAGATGAAGGGGAAGAGGTCTAATGGCTGGAGTTGAGCTGCCGGACCCCTCTCGCAATGAAAAATCACCTCAGGGTCAAGAAAGTGAACAAGACATGCCGAAACCTTATAACATGCCTGAGAAAGCAAGAGACACAGTGGGGATTGAAAATAGGTCATAAATTTAAGATGGAGAAACCAGGAGAGTGTTACACTAACAACATGATTTAGTTTCCTTCCACCGCTAAATTATCCTGTTGTAAAACAAAGTAAATAAAACGAAACAAAACTTCGCTGAAGGACATTGTAAGAAAAGCATATGAGTTAGAGGGCCATGGGTTCTTTAAGCTTTGCCAGCTACTGTCAGTGATATCTAAACAGTTAAATCTCTGAGAACTTGCAACAACTTACTATAACAAGAAGAGACAGCAATATGCAGATGTGCAAATCAGAATATTTAAATAACTTTGGAGAGAACAGACTTGCAACTGGGCTATAGGCAAGTAAAATCGACAAATTGAGCCTTTTTTAACCTTGACTCGATGTTCCAATTTCAAAGCCAAACTGAGGCGATCAGCCTTTAGTGAATGCATTCAATGTGATAGGCTAATTTTACATGCTGTTGCAGCACAAAGATCCATGTGTCACATGAGTATTAAATTAATCTTAACAGGACATATAACAGTTATTATTGTAACTGATCTGGAAAGTTTTCATTGTTCTGTCAGACCGCTCTTTTTCAAAATATTTTTTGGGTCTTCAAGTTCAGTCAACAGATCTATTTTTGAAAATTTAACCCTGGGCATGAATAAATTATTCCAGAAGTTACTCAGTGTTGGTATAACCTTGACCAAACACTGATATGTTATGAATCAAGGTGAGGTTGAGCTCTAATAAAAGGTAACAACAATTTTGAGAATATTGACCTTTTCTTTGAACTAAAACCAAAAACCAGAAAAAATCATTAAAGACACAATATTTTATTATGTTTCCTCAGTCATAAAAAACAGCCTAAATTTTAATAAACGTCCCACTATTGAATATCTACTTTGCATGTCAGTGAGAGATTTTATACTATATAAATGACTTAGCACCAAAGTTGTTTTGAAAATGTTGCCCTTAGGCAAGAACTCCTTGCTAACATCTATGCCATGTTTAAGCTCCTTGCACACAGAGATCAGTTTGTGCTGCAATCACAGGGGAATGAGAATCCAGAAACGGAATCACAAAAGCTGATTGCTGAGACTCAGGGAAGTCCTGAGGTACCAGTTTAAACTCCAAATCTATCTGTGATACTGCCTAACAGAAGCTTAGGCACATTCTTTAACGATGTTGATGGGTTAGAATGAGGTGAACAAAAATAACAAGACATGCAACATTTTATGAGGTTTATACAGTAACTTCATAGTAGTGGCATTGCAAATAAAAAAAAAGTCCTAAACACGTCTTGCCCAAGACCTTCAATTTGCACTGTAATCAGTAAAAGAGACACAGATTTCAAATATTGTTCATGTGATTCCTTCCAGCTCCACTTGCTAAGATCTTCTCACAAAGTCAGTAATTAAATGCAGTGCAAAAGTTGTACGAATATGAAGAGACAACACCCCTCACATGGGTCCTCTCATGCTAAAACAGCTGGGAGTGGTGCAAAATCCCCCAATATTTATGGGGGATCTTTTTAACTTGCTTCATCTTACACACATAGTTGAAACGCCACACTTACATACACAGAACAAAAAGACATACAACTGTATTTCTCACCATATCATTAAATAACAAGATAAAGAAAAGAGAGACTTGTGTTTAGACTTCTTCAAAGTAAGAAGTTTATAGGCAGATTGCCATCCCTTGAAACAATTTTGGGAAACTCAAGCGATGATGCCACAACTTTATAAGCCTCAGAGAAAATCCAATTTCTGAGTTAGATGGAAGCAGAGCTGTGAGAGCATTTGAAGTTGCATCTCAAGTAAAGCTTCCATGAGACACATCAAACTTGTGTGGGAGAATCTTGGAGTTCAATATGTCTGATTAGTCTTTTTAGCATTTTTTAAATGTGACAAAGGCAGCACATTTATTTGTTCAAACAGTTGTACTCAATAAAACCCATGGTAACTTTTAGGTGTCAAACTATAAAGGAAAGAAGTTAGTTCCATGTCCTAAAATGATTGTGCTTTGGTTAAAATGTGCATTTCAGCACCAGAACTAACATAAATGACTCTCTAAAGATGCAAGCTAAAGCTATGAAGAAACTATTACTTTCCTCAGAGTTCTGTGTCAACATGGGCTGAAAGGCCACTCAGAAAAGAAGAAATAATTATTCAAAAAGCAACATAAAAAGTCAAGAAATTGTCTCCAAATGGAATTAGGGTCATGAGACACAGCCAAAAATAATTATCGTTACATTTGGAGGAAAACAGTGGGAGACAGCAAATCTGGAGGCACAATCCATGCTGTGAAGAATGGGGGTCACAGGATAATGTTGTAGATATCTGCTGCTGGAGGAATTGGCATGTTTTACAAACCCGAGAAAAGAACTTTAAATCGATTAAAGCAATATCAGAAGGTATCAGCAAAGGGAATTTGAAAGATTTGGCAAAATGTGGTCCTCCCAGATGGACAATGACCCCATAGACAGAGCTAAATAAGCTACAGAGTGGCTTACAGACAACAGTCAAATTTGTGGTGTCAACTGTAAACACCATAAAGGTGACATGTAAACTGATCTCTGCCAGACCAGTTCTACCAGTAAAGGGTCAACATTTCAAATTATCATGACCTTGTGGAAAAACACAAAAACACAATAGTTCACCAATTTAAAAATTGTATGAAATAAGGAAATGCATTTAAACTTATGAATTTGAAGATAGTTACAATAAAAAATATAATAAAAATTACCAATTAATAATAATCTGCTATTTAGCAAATGAAAATGAGATGGGCAGTGATAACTGATGTAAAAGTGAAGCCTGTAGCATGAAAAAATGTTTATTTTCGTATGCAGTATGTAAATATCTGGTTTTACTTGTTGGGATGGAGCTTCTTTATTTCAAATATCAATCAGAAATACCTTAGAAAGAATAATTAAAAATGTGAAACCAAAACATCTGCAGGAAGAGAAACATGTTTTTAAACAGCTTGATCCACAGTTCTTATACAAACAAATATTTATGTTCACTGAAATGAGAAATTAAAGAAGTTTGTGTTATCCTGTCAGACTGGGATTTGTATCTGTTTGTACTTTACATACAGGAAACTTTCCTTCACATTCATGGATGCAAATGTCCAGCAAACATTTAAATAGCTTTACATAAGGACCTTCAGCTCACAACAGGTTTATATTTGCATTGAGCAAATCAACATGCATGATGGTTTAACCAAGAAGTCAGTGTATGACAGATGAAGAGAGCCATCAGACTAAGTCCAGTGTTGAATCAACAGTCACATCTTTTAAGATTAGCATATACTTAACTTTAAAAAAATATGTTTATTGTACTTTTTTATTCAATTTGTTGCTTCTGTTGCATGTTTATTTTGTAACTGCACAGCATCCTAAGTGTCCTAAAAGGTGTTTTTATAAATGTAATAATAATATAAATGTGTTGATTCTTTGTGATAAAAATATTTCTTCTGTTAACTTGAAAGCCAAACATTATAAAACCTACAAAGTTATCTCAGCTGTATCAGAGGGGAAAATGGTTAAAGTGTTTCCATTTCCTGGTTTTGTCCTAAAAAAACCAAAAAGTTAGAAAGACCGCCAAATGCTGCAGTGTTTCTAATTTGAGGACATTTCCCCTCCGTGCTGCTTCAATAAGAAATAAATCTAAAAAAAATTATTTGTTGTTGCAAAACAAATAATGCCTGCAGGCTTCCTTCTTACTGCCCTTTAAGATCCTAACAGGCTGCGGAGTCTATGTTGTACTCAGATCCTTCAATTGACTCACACAAACAAATTTGTGAGTTTTTATTTGAGGCAGCAACACCTCAGAAGAAGGATTTCAGCAGAATGTGGGACTTCCTGTTTACGACACACTTTTCCTGCTTTGGGTGAACTCCAGAGAGTCTGTCCTCATTAATGGCTTCAGAATAAAATTACTTATTTTTCCATTTGACTTTTATATCTGTTAAGTGGTACATTTAGGTCATTTGATTGTGTTGACTGATGAGATTTGCTTTCTTTGGCAATATATATATATATATATATATATATATATATATATATATATATATATATATATATATATATATATATATATATATATATATAAAAAGCATGATATATATATATATATATATATATATATATATATATATATATATATATATATATATATATATTGCATTTCCAGCTAAAATGCTCATGAGCTATGAAAGTCTAAGTAGAGAAGATTGTTTTTACCCCTTCTTATAAATAAACAAACAGCTAGAAAATAAAAATGTTAAGCAAAAAGTTAATTTGTTTTTTACTCTACTTTCTACAGGACCTGGTTTGACTGCTTCAGGAGTTCGATTTATATTCCAGCTATCCATCAACACCAGCAGGTCACTTGTCACTCAATCTTGCCACCTAGTGGAGTTCCAAAGGTTCAGCTCTGATCCGGCAAAGTGAAACCAGCCAACTACTCCCCTCATCTGGGGAGTTGCATTCCCTGCAACATCTTCCGATCATCATATTCAACCTTTTACCTACTGGGAAGAACGTAACACAAAACAGCTGAAAATGAAAATAATGAAAAGCATGATTTCGAGTTTTCTGCGTGTGTTGCAGAACACAAAGTGACCTATCCGGGAGATATCCTCACAACGAGAGGTTTAATGCAAGAGTTGGTTCACTTAAAGCAAGCAAAAGGCCTAATTCAGCAGAAAATAAATAAAAAAAAAAAGACTCCAGCAGAGACATCAAAAGGAAATGGCATCATCAGTAAATCAAACATCCATCCCACCACTAACAATTAATGGTAAGAGAAAAGTTTGTTGTCTGTTGGTGAATAAAACATTTATTTATTCTTTTTTATTTATTTTTTTTTACATCAGATAAGATAATATATCCATTAATTTTTACAACATAAATCAGAAAGTTACACACACAAGTTAAACCAAACCAAACTTCTCTTCTTTGTAGGTCAATTAGAATTACCAAAATTATTTCTATCTGCCAAAATGCTCCACCGTCATATTTCTGATATTTCGAAGACTTTTTTTTTTTTTTACTTTCCCATTCCCAGTGTGTCAAACAAGAATGCAGTGTGCTTAAAGCGTGGTCTGAAACTACAAGCAGCTGTGTGTCCAATGAGCTCAAATGGGTCAGTTAACCTGTCAGAAGTTTCCAAAGTCATGACATTATAATCGGAGCGGTCCCCGTTGTTCAAACATATATTAATACACAAATCTTCTGTCAAGCAAAACACTAGGTGGCAAGATTGAGTGACAGAGATTTATTGACAAATAAATCTCTGACATATTCTTGTTACTATTATTGATCATTTCTGGGACATGATTTAAACAATTTTTTAATAATAAAATTGATTTTCCTATGGAGCCAGGCTTTGTTGTAACGGTTTAAAAGTGGAAAGCTTAATGTTTTTGTTTTGCTTGTTTTCTTGCAATCTTTGTGCTGTCAACCAGTTATTGTTTCAAGAATTTACTTGTACTTTTTGCCTGTTCGGCAAGTCAACTCTGACCTGCATAAAGTACATAAAGTAGATGATCAACTGAAGCATAATACTTCTCTCAAGTTCTGGGTCAGATATTTTGCTGGATTTGTTCACAACGCTTCTTTCACTTAGCTGATCAGCAGTAAACAGAATCAGCTGGGGGAGGCCAGAGCTGTCTTATTTTTTGCCATATATTATCAAATAAATTTAATATATATATTTTTTACTATTGTTTGGATAAACAACAATTGAAGCCCATGACTGCTTTCTATTGTTGCATGTTTTGCAAAGCACATAAACTTTGTAAAGCATGTCATTTTCTGTGATACTTCCTTACAGGCACTGCGACAACCAGCATACCAAAATACCCCAGTCACAACTGGGAGTTTTTGGTTGGTGTTCTGGCCACAGCCATTTCCGTCTCCCTTATCCTCGCCCTTCTCGCCAAATGTCAAGTAGTCCGACGTTACCTGGCCAGCTACAGACACACACGCCTGAGGGAGCCTGATACTGTTAGCCATTCTGACTCTTCAGGTTGGTTTTTAAACACAAACCGAAAGAAAAGTGCTGAACATTTTGACATGAGGCATAATTTATAAGGGTATAACCTTTTTAAAGACTGAAATTATAATGTAAAAGGGAAAAATGCGAGCCTTTTACAACATCTTGTAAAATGCATACATCCACAATCATCAGAATGTGAGATTTGACCTTTGACCCTATATCACATCTCCTGCCAAGCTTTTTTCATCCCTCACATTTCTAAAAGAGCAAGTGAGTTTAAAAACATTACTAGCACATCATCATGATAAAGCAATGATCAATTCCAGAATTTGAATCAAAATGTGAAACTCATTGCAAACAAATTATTTATATTATTTATTTAAGATTATGCCTTGTAGCTAAAGAGACATTGTTTTTCAAAAAATAACAAATATTTTATAAAACCAAAACAAAAAATGTTTTCAATAAAGAAACATGGGACTATGTAGCCCATGTAGTAAGAAGAATCATTCAGAAAAAAATTACAAATCTTTTGACTCCATCTCTAACTTTGCTTAAAAAGCCATGTGGAATTTAAAATAATTACCGATTATTGTTTTCTTGGATGTTTCCATTTCTTCTAAAAAGGTGAAACTACCAAAACAACAACAAAAAAAAGAAATTAGAGCAAATATATCACCCTTTTTATAAACACGACTTATCAGTTAAACTGTGTGCCTTTCTTTTTATTTGAGAGACTGACGATCCTGTCAGTCAGCATGTCTTCCTGAACCTTCTGTTTTTAATTAGCTGATGCTTGTTTTATTCCCGGCTGCAGGCATGGATGTAGAGTTTGATATGCGCAGGGGACGAATGGACCCTCACTGCCTCCCCCCTGTGAGCGAGGAGGATGACGACGGCTTTATTGAAGACAACTACATCCCGGCCAGTGAGAGAGCCCGGGCTCAGAGAGCAGCTGAGGACATGGAGGAAGACACAGAAGAAGATGTGATTGAATTCAGCATCACTTAGAGTATCTGGATGCATGTGGTTCATTGGTTGAACCAGAAACCTCCCAGAAACCATTTCTACTCCATTGTTTGTCTCGTCATGTTTTTCAAAGTGGATACACACTGTTTATATGCATTATATTGAAATTAATTTTTACACATGCCTTCTAGTCTGAGTATGGGCTTTGAAGGAACATTAAATCCATGGGCAACAGTTTCAACATATTTTAAAGAGCATGCAAACATGTAAAAGTCAAAATCAGCAAGAGAGAAGCACTGGCTATCTTGAAACATTGCAAGAACCAAACATTTAATCCTCTGAAGAATTTATTTTAATTTCCAACATTTATCCAAGGATATTTAGCTACATAACACATTTTTGGAACATGGCTGCATTCCATTTGTACTCGCAATTCTGAATTTCCAATAACCACTGGAGCGACGAAGCCATTCTGAATTATTTAAAAGTTAAAGGTTTCTAACTAACAGTGATTTCAAAATCCATCATGGCTCTCTTGAACTTAGAAAAGCACAGCTAATCTACCTCCCAGTTTAAAATTTCTCCACAGCAATTTATTACTTCCACAAGCAACAAAACATGGAAGTATTTTAACAATGACAGCAGTTGGATTATTTTTAGTGTTGTGATTTTTGCACAGTGAAACTTTGAATCTTTGCTTTTATGGTACAGAAGTGGCAGTTTTTGACATGTAAGGAGCTCAGTGCCAAACACAGCAATGTTTTAAATGTTTTAAATTATTTTGAGTGATTAGTGTGAGACTGAATGTGATTTTGGTTACATTTAGGGTGGCAGATTAGAGGGACAAGGGTGTACACTTAAGATGAATTTCATGTCACTCATCTGTCTCTGAAATCTCTTATCTTCTTAAACTGTTATCCAGCTGTGTGAAAATTATTTTCTATTACACTTTTCCTTCTGCTTTAATTTCCAATGTGGCACTTTGCTTGAAAACTGTCAGGTCGACAGACAGTTCAAAATGCTACCATAGCCTAAAACAACTTTTTGAACCGACACATTTGTAAGAAAATGAACATTACCTTCTGATATTTTTGTATGTTTTTTTGCTGTTGTTGTTCATTTTGAATAGCTGAAATAAATGTTAAGGGTTCAAATTTTTTTAATACACCAGTAAGTGTGTTAGAAAAAATACTTAGGCCTACTACATGTGTGCAAACAGTTCAGTTAAAGCTTCAGAAAAACTGCATCGTATACTTTCATGCTTTCAGTGTCAGAATTAAAAAAATAGAAAAAGATTCTTCTTAAATCTTCTTATTAAAGCTAATTTTCTAAAACCTAAACGTATCTATGTGACTGTAACTGTGCCACTTTTACGAACAGATATAGTTGATTTTAAAACTGAAGGAATAACTTTAGGACTTTTCGCTTCAAGGAGCAGCAGCTCGAGTCTCTCACCGTCTCCTTCTCCTCTAAGCTCCGCGGCACGATGTGACATAAACAACAGTAATTAAGCGTGGCGCTGCGCGCTGGGTCGAGCCCTGAAGCGTTTCTGTGTGAGGCCATTCAGCTGATGAGAGCAGCCTGACAGGTCTGCGCGGAGCTGTCAGGCGAGGCTGCATCCGGAAGAGTGACACGTCAAGTTCAAACCGAAACCGGAAGCAGAGCTACTTTGACTTTAAAACAAAAGCGTTGAAATTCACACCGTCAGCCCATTGGCGGAAAAAAATACAGAAAAATAGACAAGATTACCGCTTAATAATAATAATAATGCCCAGAGTATTGCATGCTTTAACTTCAAATCTGTGCAAACTGTAGTTTATAATGTGGGCCTAAACAGATGGCAACCCATAAAAGCATTAAAAATGTGAAGTGTATGTAATTTCTTATAGATATTACTGGAGAAACGACGAATTATGACTTTTGAAAATATTGCAATTGTCTTAAAATGTATTCTTACATATAAAGGAGCTTCAAGTTAACTATATTGTTGGCCTTGTCTGAATCATTTTAGATATTTTTTTTTTCCAGTCTTTGGGTATTATTGTTAAGCCTTATTTTTATATTTCACTTTTTTTTTCAAGCAATTTCTCAAGGATGCATATTTTATTAACTGTTTATTATAAGTTCTGTATCTTTACGTCTCTGTTGGATCTGAGGTGTCTTGTCTTCCCAAACACTTCAAAATCCACATCCTCTTCAGTCTTTTATTTGCAGAAGATCCAAGCCTTGTTAAGAGTGTAAAATGGCTCCTTTGCGCTGAAAAAAAGGCAACACTAAGCGCCAAGCCAGGCAAACTAAACTGATTTAATCGTTCTGCAACATTGTGCTGAGGTTGAAATTAATCAAATTTGAGGATGGAAATAGATTGGTTGAGTTAATTTTGCGGCCGGAAATTGGGCTTCCGTAAACACAGTGAGCTTGACGCTCCGGAAAAGCGGCGCTGCAGCGAAACGCTTCGACTGAGCAGAGCGCAGCTCGGAGGAGAATGATGGGAGCGACTTTTTCTTCCATTTATATGACCCATATCCAGCCGTAGACCTAGAAATCATCCTGCCTCATTCTTGTTCTCGAGGGTTTTTTTTTCTCCGTCAAGATGTCCGCCTCGGCGATATTCATCCTCGACCTGAAGGGAAAGGTGAGTTTTGGGCGACTTGTTGGTGGGGAAGTTGACATTAACAGCGCGGCACCTGCGATACGAAGACCGGTTAAACTAAAGAAAGCGCCCCTGTTGAAGTTTATACGTTTTATTTCACCCTGCTTGTTTCTACTGCATTTAGAACATTTCCGGCATAGTTGTGTTTCAAGAGAGGAAGTTAGTGAATTAAGGCTGAATGGGCAACAACATTGACATGAAACAGACAGGAAGAGAGAGCCAACTCGCCAAACTCGTTTGTCGATGCTGAGTTTACACAGAGGGCTTGTTGTTGTGCAGCGATGCAGCCCTTATTATATGTGATGTGTCCTATTTCAAAGTTTGAAACTTACCTCTTGGAGCTATTGTTTCTTTTAATTGCAATTGATCCCTTTGAAAAGTGCTTCAACGTGCATGAAAATATAGAATTTAGTCATTGGAAAATATTTTTTCACCTATCTCGTGTTCTTTTGTATTGCTTCCCTTGTCTCTAAAAGTCCTATTTAATTATCTAATTTTTGTTTCCATTGATCTTTTGCACGTGTTTTCTTGTTTGATAGTTAAGAACGTCCAAGCATTTATAAAATGTGTTTTGCTTATTTTTGCAGCAGATAGGCTTGGGGTGAACTCCACCTAACTCTGGTTTGATCAGTAGGTTTGCAAAATTAATAAAATTTGATGTATCAGTTTGTTTACACCAACTTAATTCTGCACTCACTTAATTTTTACTCTCAAGATGCGAGTGAGATTTAACATAACTTGGGAGCCACCGTCTTGAAACGTTTAGATCTGTCCGTGTTCCAACACACTTCATTCACATGAATGACTAAAATAACCTCTGCAGAAATTAGCCCATAAGATTCAGTTGGAGCAGGGATCCATGTAAAAGTGGCTACAGTGACTTATGCAAGATTTGGTGATTGCTGATCTAAACAAACTTTGTATTATTTTAGCAAAACACTGATCAGTTGGCATCATCTCTATGCTGTTTGTCCTAGATCTCTACTTGTACTATGTACTTTGGTAAACAATAAGCACATAGAGGAAAGTAATGCAATTGTTTTTCATAATGAATAATTTCTTATTTAGGGTCCATTATTTGGCTATGCTTTATTTAATCAGTAGAATACAGGATAATTAGGTCTAATTCATGTCTAGGGACAATAAAAAGAGTCAAAGGGAAGTGCCAAACACTCAACAGGTCAAATTATGAGCTCAACACCCCCCAGAAAAAGCTTGCTTCAAAGAAAGTCGGAGAGCAGGGAATTTCAGTTTGCAGTGTGGATACCAAGGACACCAAAACTTCCTGGATTTCCTGTGGGAACTGTTTTTTTCCTCTTTTCGATTGTGTCCTTATAAAGCTTATAAACCTTTCTGAAATCTTTATATAGGGCGTCATACCATAAATCTGAGTGTAGGGTGATTGTTCAAGCTGTGGTAAAAACAGGAGGAATAGCACGTCATTGGTCGAGGTCCATATAGATATGGAGAAGGGTGTCAAACCCAAAAGTGTTATATTGATTTTTGTCTGCTGCTGTTTATTTTGTTAGAATATATATTTTTTTATATTAAATGTATTTCTGATTATTTTTGTCAGCTCATATTTTTTCAGTTTAAATTAAAATGCCAAGTTTTGTTCATTTTAATGCTCTGGAACCTCTTACTTACTTTTAGTGTAATCTGCATAGTATTTTGTCTCAGCTATGCATTTGTTTTTAATTGCTTGAACTTCTGCGCACATTTTGTACCTGCATTTCATATTTCTTTTTTAATTTGAACCAACTTACAAGAAAAATTCTAAGAATAGGAACAAAAATGTCTGCAGAACGCTGGGATTGTTCCCAGCACTGTGTCTTCATGTCACACTGCCAAAGAAAACCTGTGGAGCTTAACTTTGAGAGCAATGACGTTTATATTTGTGGCATTTCTTCTTGATTTCATGTGAATTAATGTATTTAATATCTGTTATTCGCATGCTGAAGAGGTAGTAACAATGAGAGCGAAGCAAAACAGGCAGGATACCAGACTTTGAGGACTGACTTTGGACACCTTTGCACTGCAACATCACATATTGATTGGTGAACTTTGCAATCAAAGTCAGATGTTGATAGCCCAGAAACTCACTGTTTTATCAATATCCCGAAATTTTTATGGTCTGTGAATGAAAATGAAAAGAAATAACTGTATAGGGTGTATGTATTTCCAGGTTTTGATTGGACCAAAACATCTGAGTATATTAGTGTCGGTTTTGTCCAGTACATCCTGGTAAATGAGATTTTAAATCTCAAAAGACCCATCATAATTCATAAAATACAAATAATACAAACTAAACTGTGGGATCCTGACACAGCCGACATTTACAGACCTCATGATTGATCCAAAATCTGTATGTCAATTTGATTGATGATTAAACAGTCCTGGAATCACTACAAGGGCAACAAAAGGAATTGCTGAATAGCCTTTTCTGCTTGACAACAATGCCCATCAGGGAGAAAGGTCCATCCTTCACAGCCTGGGTGCCTGATTGTACAGATTAAAGGTTTCTCTTTTTCCCTCTTGTGATCTACTTATCTCTGCCCCCAGGCTACTTAGCTGTGCTTCCCCTTCCATCCTCACTGTGCCTCTGGCAATATCCTGATCAGACAAGTTTCTAAATTTTAGTGCTCAAAGAGCAAATATGCATTGTAGTTGTAATTAAAAGTGTAATTAACTAGAGTAAAAGGTTGAATTCTAAATGAGTATTTACATAGTTTACAAAAAAAACAGTCAAGCACAACCTGCCCATTTCAACTTTCAGACATATTCCTTAAAATGCACAAGAAGGCAGAAGCCAATCTCCACATCTGCCCTTTATCCGTCCACCGTAAAGCCGTCCCCTTTCCACCTGGGCACCAGCCTGAACATGGATAGCTTCTGGGACTCACTGACGTACCAAAATGTCAAGCTACTGCAATCATCACAGCATCAATTGTTCCTAGAGCTTCACAATAGAATTTTTCTATACAGTAATTTACTTGAGCTCAAGTTTAGGGTTATTGTGAGCATTTAGATGTCTCTAGCAGATGAACGTGTTCATATAGTAAGTGTAAAATAACTAAAGGAGTCAGATTCTAAAATGCAAGTTGAGAAGTTTGAGTTTTGTATGATGTTTCAGATTTGTGATAGTTTCGTTTTTGGTCAGAATGCTTTTTTTTTTCCTTTTGGATGGAAATACCAAGCTGCTGGTCGATTCCAGACTAAAAATCCCAAATGGATTCTGGATGATTTTGAAATTAGTTATTACCAAAGGGCTCAGAGGACAGGCCGTCAGTACTATAGAGATGTCTTGACATTTTTCCATCCTTTCGTTTTTCTGTCAAATGCTAAATTAAACCGAGACTCAGCCCTTCAGACACCCACATTTTGTGTAGCCTGATTCATTTGTTCAGATGAATCAGTTTCAAAGGTTGTAATGTATATTAAATTCACAGGGGTAAGGAACTACAGCCATCAATGGGCTGCTAAAATTCACAAATACTTGAGACCTCTTCTATACATGCTTAAAACTGTCCATTTTATCAGTTCAAATCACAAAGAAGCAGTTTTGGTCAGAATACTTAAAGTATTACAAATGATAGTAAAATTTGTTTCCAGACAACAATGATAGTAGTTTGCATATTAACATACTCCCAATTGCTAAACAATGGAGCTGTCAGTATCACTGAGCTGGAATCTCAGATTGGGATCAAAAGGAGGCATTGTGATTCCTGATGTTAAATAGTTTCTATTGACCAAGGAACTGTGTCACATTATATCTGAAATTCTTAGGGTTCTATTATCCCTTTCATAAGCAAACTACATTTTCTGTCAACAGCTCTTTTGCTGATCTCATAATCACCCTGGTATTGGAGTAACTCAGTGAGATTTATACTGTGATTTATGTTCCAAAGTGTTGATGGGTGATCCAAACTGACATTAGCTTTGCTGAGATTTTTTTTGTGTGTCTATAGTTTGCCTTTGGGTCAAACACTCCAGTGAGGGTTTTCTGTTTTCTATTTGTCTTTGAGGTCAGTAGTGAGTGGATTGTATTGATTTCACATTCTGGACACAGCCACCCATTGTCATGCGTCCCTGCCCCAAATTCCCTCTAAATGCTATTTTTCCCTCGCTTTCATGTTATTTACAGTTTTAGACACACATAATTTAATAAAATGCAGTTTTGAATACACCTTAGATGTTTTTTGTTTAGGATTTTTTTTTTCTATTTGAGGAATGTAAACCCAGGTATAAACTTTACTATATAAAAAATAACTTTATATTTGTTTTCTCTTGCCTTTTTAGTTTTGTCTCTGAA